CTGAAAAAATAATACAATCTACCTCATCTACCCACTGAGTTATAGTCTGAGGAACAGAGAAATTAAAGACCTTCTCCGCAGAATAGGGAATCTCTACCTGAAACTTCTTAACACATGAAAAAGGGACCAATGAGAACACACACTGCAATCGGTAAGCCTCTCTGAGAGAGAGAGCAACAAAAAAAGAGAGAGCATACAAAAAGGGGTCTTGTGTAAGACCTCTTCAGTTTTTACAGAGAACTCTTCAACTTTTATGCAAGATGGGTTTTCCACCAGCATTAGTCTCTTCTCCTTTGACAAAGAGGAACAAGAAAGGAACCATAAATAATGATCCAAAATGATTCCCTACCCTGACGTTCAGTAGAAATTTCTTACTTTCTTTGGAAGCACGTTTTCCACTACTCTCCAGATTATTGTCCTGTTATCCCAGCAAACATAATAGTTAAATCTATAGACAATTGATGTTTGGTTTCCTCCCTCAGTGGGGAACAGATCCAAGCCCAGGCCATGCATACCTTAGCCCTACTTTATCAAGATAATTCCTCAATAATAACTACTGCTTCTTTATATATTTTCCTAGGATCCAGGGTGAGTATGCCACCTTTTTTCCCCAGAAATTTCTGAAATGGTGCCAGAATGAAATATTAATAAATTAACCCCAAAGTATACGTTATTATTGACTAAAATTTCACTGTCTATTTTGTTTCCCACCTTCAATTATGTTTAGCAATTTGTTCAATATAGCTGAGCTAAGATTAGGCAACAAGCAAATGTTATCATAAATTATAATATACTGCCACGACGTAAGAATTCTTCAAAGGTAAAAAATTATTTACCTCTTCAAATGGCTCAAATGGCTAAATCGAAGTAAAAAACTTCCTTTATTGCATCTATTGAAAATACAATATTCATTTCCAGTGTCATAATTTTCTTCTTATTTGCTGACATACATATTTCATTCAGATACCTGGGTATAGATAAATGTCTATCAGCAGTGGTTGCTTGAGCTGTCTTCCTTTTGAACAAATGCAGCTTGTTTATATTTGCACAGTTACATCAACCCAGCCTCACATGTCTCCTGGGACTTTATTTTCCAAAGAGCTAGTAAAGAAGATACAAGAGAGTATCAATGCACTAGTCATACTCCCATATGAAATTTTGAAAATAAGAGAAGCCAATCAAGTTATAATACCATCAAAATATTATAGCCACATTACTCTGGCTAGTCAAAAACTATAGACAAAGGCAAGTTATCTAGAGGAAAGAAATGTGGGACAGAGAGGAAATGAGAAGAAATTGGGAGGGTGAGATGAAGAAAATGAGGAGGAATAATCATGAAAAACCCTCATTTGTCTATGAGTTTCTAACCTCACAAATATCATAGCTCCAATTTGCCCTCATTTTGAATGCCAACATTTCTTCACTGTTAAAATCCAGGAAAAGATAAATAGAAGGTGATATTTTATGGGCCATTTAGAGATGAATAACTAGGAGTCAACAGAGCTGCAGATTTTGCCAGAGCTCGAGTCAACACTTTTTTAATCTAGAAATAGAGGAGTTAAAAATTTTCAGTAGCAATGGGATTGCTAGAATGACCCATTTATTGGAGGATTGGACTCAGAGTTTTGAGGATTTTTTATCTTAACATTTCCTAAAGCATTTTTTAGCTATTTGAAACAATGGCTGTGCTATTACATCTGATCTAGAGAGTTTTAGACCTATTAATTTTACTCCCTGAGGACAGTCTCACATTTTGTCCATCTTTTGTCTCAGTTGGGATTCATGCTCAATGTGCTTTTTTTCTAAAACAATATCTTCAGGGTCCAAGTGAGTAGAAATATTTATTTTTAAATATGTATTTCTTACAATCTTTTCTTCATATGATAAAATTTTCAGGTAATCAGTATATAGCTGATGATATTTCATGTAATAGTTAAATCACTTCTGCGCAACACTTCTTTCTTTGTTTCAATGTCATATGTCCCTAGTGTTTTATTCTGTATGCTTTCAATCACTTAAAAAAGGGAAATTTGGGTTTTAAAGCTTTAATATGTGTTTTAATATGTTCGTTTTTCTTTCTCTACTATGTGAAAGGCTAGGTAATAATGCTTGCTTTCCTTTGTTACCCCTTTGCTCTTGGGTTCCCTATCAGGTTTCTGTAGATTATCATCTGAAGTGTGTTCCATGGTAAGATATGAAGACAGTAAGACACAAATCTTACTAACCCTTTGGTAAGATTTGGATAATTCTACGTAGAATATAACTTAGACCTGTCACCATGATCTGGATAATTCTACATAGAATATAACTTAGATCAGGATTTTATCTGTTTTTGCTCTGCATGAGTCACTTTAGGATGATTAAACTTTAATGTGCATTCTTAAAAGATCTAGCTTCATAAATTTTCTGACCATATTCCCCCGTATATATATATGTATATGTTTTCTCACAAAAAGTAAAACAAAACAAAACTACCAGAAACAAGCAAACAAACAATAAAACAACAAAAATTGTTACCATGAACACAATCAAATACTGCTTGAAGTATTTTAAACCAATCTTCTTAGTTTTCCTTCTGAAATCTTTCTGAAACTTTTTCCCAAACAGCTGGCTGTCCTTGTTTTCAAGCTGAGGGTTTCCAATTGCATTTATTATAGGCTCTCTATCTGTAGCTTTGAATGTTTTCCAATAGTTTCTTGGCTATGGATTGTCCCTGTGAGCATAATTTTATTGTATTTTTTTTCTGTGATCTTCTTTCCCTTCCTTGTTTAAGTACCTTGGGGGCCCCAAGCCCTTCATTATTTGTTAATGAACAAATATACACAATGCTTACTTTATTTCCTTTCATTTCATGTTACTATTCCATTGTTTTTGCTCCAAAAGCCAGGTTCAACTTGCTTTTTTTTTTTTTTTCCCAGACAGAGTCTCACTCTGTCGACCTGTCTAGAGTGCAACGGCATGATCTCGGGTCACTGCAACCTCCGCCTCCTGGGTTCAAGCGATTCTTCTGCCTCAGCCTCACAAGTAGCTGGGATTATAGGCACCTGCCACCACACCCGGCTAATTTTTGTATTTTTAATAGAGACAGGGTTTCGCTATATTGGCCAGGCTGGTCTAGAACTCCTGACCTCGTGATCTGCCTGCTTCGGCCTCCCAAAGTGCTGGCATTACAGGCCTGAGCCACCATGCCTAGCCTCAACTTGCTTTTAAAATTAATATGATTCCTTATTGATATTCTGAATAAACTTAAATTCTGTAGTGAATTAAAATGTAAAATTAAATTAAAATTATTAATAATAATTTTTTTTTTTTTGCTATCTCAACCTAAGAAGAAGAAAGAGAGTCTCTGCTTATCAGTTGATTGACAAAAATAATTACTCCACTATGATGGATGCAATGCCTGGGTTTCTAAAATCAAAAGGCTTCATGAGGTCTTAAGTAATTAATCATGATAAGCTAACTTGAGATTATTGTTTGGAAGTAACAAAACACATGAATATGTGAAGTTGGAATCTTTCAGTGTCCTTTTTGTTCTTAGTGAAATTTAACACACCTACAGGGGAAAAACATTTGAGACAAAGTTCTGTGCATTAAAGTTTAAAAGTGGTGATAGAGTGTAAAATGGCCACATTTTTTCACATCTTTTTATAACTACATGTTTTGTGTGATTTTGCAGTTCCTCTCACTAGAGAGATAGAGGTTTTTCTATTCTCTTTGAACTTGGGCTTGCCTTCTGACTTATTTTGGCCAATAGAATAGAGTGGAACTGAATACTAATTCTGAGTCTTTGTCTCAAGAAAGCAATTCTTGTTCACCTGCACTTCTTCCTCTACCATAACAATGATTGTACCTACTTGAGGCATGAAAGAGATTCATTTGAGAGAGATGAGGCCATCATGGATCAGCCAGCAATCAGCCTATCTCTAAAGAGTTGAGAAGGCCAATCAAGATCAGTAGAGATCCTCTATGACCCATTACTGATGTAGAAATATAATTGAGACCAAGGTGACCACTCAACTGATTTGCAGATTCTTGAGCAGTAATAAAAGACTTACTGTTATAAAGCATTGACTTTTAGGTAGCATGTTACGTAGCAATATGTGGAAGTTGATCATTTGTAAAGAGAATCATGCACTAAAACCCTGTGGTCTACAAAGAATTTATATGCTCATTGCAACTTAAACTGTGAGACTACAGCCCTGGTTGAAAACAGAATCCAATAATTTCATTTAGTAATTCCTTAAAAGCTTATCCAGAGAAGCTCTGGCAATTATGATGTGAACCTTAATTGAAATTAAATGACTGCATATACTGGCTTCATCTTCAATATGAGAAAAGGTCAGGTTGTGCCAGGAGTATAGTCAGATCTGTGTTTGATTTTCCCCAGCTAATTGTCCCTGTTCTAAAGGCACGTATTGAAACTAGACTTAGGGTTACAGAAACTTACCATTACATCACAAAAGATGTCTTTTTTATTTATTTATTTAATTTTTTGAGATAGAGTGTCACTCCGTTGCCCAGGTTGGAGTGCAGTGGTGTGATCTCAGCTCACTGCAACCTCCATCTTCTGGGTTCAAGTGATTCTCCTGCCTCAGCCTCCCGAGTAGCTGGGACTACAGGTGCGTGCCACCAGGGCTGGCTACTTTTTGTGTCTTTAGTAGAGATTGGGTTTCACCATGTTGGTCAGGCTGGTCTCAAACTTCTGACCTCACGATCTGCCTGTGTTGGCCTCCCAAAGTGCTAGGATTACAGGCATGACCCACAATGGCTGGCCAAGATGTCTTACTCTTTTCATGTGTTTCTTGATCTCCTACTTTCCTGCTTTGTTCCTGTTTTAAGGTTTGTTTGCCATGTTTTGGTTGAACTAATGAGCTATGAATGATATTGTTTGGTGGTTTCCCGATGCTATTCTCATGAAAGTAAGTTCTCAAAAGATCTGATGGTTTTATAAGGGGCTTCTCCCTTCGCTTGACTGTCATTCCTTTCCTTCCTGCCACCAGGTGTAGAAGGACATGTTTCCTTCCTCTTCCGCCATGGCTGTGAGTTTTCAGAGGCCTCCATAGCCTTGTGAAACTGTGAGTCAGTTAAACCTCTTTCTTTATAAATTACCCAGTCTTGGGCAATTTTTTTTATAGCAGTGTGAGAATGGACTAATACAGTATATCACTTGCTTTGACTAATGAAACATGAAAGGAAGTGATATGTTTCTTTCTAGCTGAAGTCTTTTAGAGCAATACATGTTTCACTAAATTTTTTCCTTTTCTTTGGAACTCGTTGAAGTATGTGAGAATATAGAATTTCCACTAGCCAATGTCCCTGGTGGAGTAAATATTTCTAATGAACCACATTGAACACATTGAAGATGTAAACTGAGTGAGAAATAAAATAAACTTTTTTGAAATTACAGAGATTTCAGTGTTTTTGGTTTTTTGTTTTTTTTCTTTACAGAGTTTCTCTCTGTCACCCAGTTTGAAGTGCAGTGGCGCGATCTTGGCTCACTGCAACCTCTGCCTCCCAGGTTCAAGCGATTCTCCTACCTCAGCATTCCAAGTATCTGGGATTATGGGTAGCCACCACCACACCCAGTAAATTTTCGTATTTTTAGTAGAGACAGGGTTTCACTATGTTCACCAGGCTGGTCTCAAACTCCTGACCTCAGGTGATCCACCTGCCTCGGCCTCCCAACGTGCTGGGATTATAGGTGTGAGCCACCACACCAAGCCCAATGTTGTTTTTTACTATAGTATAACCTGCACAGTCCTAATTTTTTTTTTAGTTCGTAAAGAATACTAAACTACAATAAGTGGCTGCTATTCTACGTTTTTATTATGTTAGTGCTCACTTATAGTAGCTTCAGTTTTTTTGTTTCTGGAGACTGGAATTATGGCATTATATGATTTTCAATGGAGAAGTAATTGGAAAGACTGAACATTACAGTAATTTGAAAGGCATACAATGTACTTAATGAGCATTTAAATCTAAGAAAATAAGTTGGAAAATAGCATATTTTATATTAATAAAACTATATATTAGTGCTAATTAGCTATTAGCTACACTTGACAAGAAATTATCAAGATGATATAAGCCCAGAAAAAAAAATTGCTGTCATTATCTTGAAGGTAGATAAGAAAGAGAATAAAGATTAGAAATTTGGGGATTTGTAGAGATGACAAGATATCTGCTTCTTAACCCCAAGCAGTAAAATGATAAAATGGTGAGATTCTCTGGCTAACAAAAATGGATTAGTCCTTAGCAACAAGGGAATACTTAAATCAAGGGAATGGTTAATACACTCATTTTATTAAAACCTCTAAATCAACTAAAGTATCTGAGTGGAAAGGTCCAACTAAGAAGGTGGTTCAAATAAATATTTTTAATTAGAAGAAATAGTTTAAGGAAAAGAGACTAAATTTCTAGTTTTTCCATTAAATCCTGAGATGGTGCAGAGACCTGTAATGAAGTTGAGAAACAAAAGTATCAAGGGGACAACAAAGCAGAGATATTAGAAAAATCTAACTGGTCTAGAAAATACTGTACATAAAGTTATGGGATTTGCTGGATTCAACTATATAAGAAGTCTATTAAGTTTTTAAAAGGCTTGTACTGTAAAACCATGGGGTAGATTAAGGTTCTGCCAAGAACCAAGTAGGACAATAGACTAAGTAGCTCTTCTCAAGGAACATAGTATGAATTAATTGAATAATATTTTTCATCCTACAGAAGGGAGTCCTTGAATGATTTTCCAGAGGCATTTCAGAATGTTACAGCAAGTGGCTATTGGAACACTTGCTAGATTGGCTAGATTTCCCATTGTTCCATTTTCCAGGTTAAAGTCTTTATTATAGCTATATGGTCTCTGTACCTCCATTGTATACTGGGTGCATGGGGAACAGTTATTTGGTCTTTGATTTCAGATCAAGGAACATGAATGTTTGATCCCTTCCTCATACCATACACAAAAGTAACTTCAATGTGGAATAAATATCCAAACTTTGACAGTAATCCTATTCATATTGATATTTACATTTTTTTGTGTGTGTCCTAGATTCTCAAATTAGAACCTAGGAAGTCTTAAATGAAACATTTTTATAGTAAGGATCAAAAAGATGAATAATTGATTGCTAGGATTAATGATGGTGGCCTACAGCAGTGGCACGAGTGATGTTGTACAGGAAAATAATTTGTTCCTGAAGTTAATCCTAACTCTGTAAAGTGCCCAAACTCATCAATCATTGTTTAAATTCACCATCTAATTATTAGATGTGTGAAAAAGGAAGTTTCCCTGGATATTGCATTATTAATTTCAAGTATAATAAAAGGAGATGTGATACATTTTGAAATATTTAATGCAAAACAACAGGAAGATATGATTGGGTAGATGATTGAATTTATGCTTCATATATTCCCACACCAGAGGATAAATTAATATAGGAAAATGTTTAGATAGAAAACTTAAACCATAATATAGTTTTACAGAAGCCATACAGGAAAAAAGCAAACTTGTAAACACTGTGGTAATGACTCACACACAGATTCAGCTTTACGATACAAACAGCTGCTTTTGGAAAAAATCAGCCTTGAAGAGAAATATGCTTTGATTGCCTGAGGCTAAATTATCTGGCTTCAAAGCACACAGGAAAAAAAAAAAGTAACATTTTCTAGCATAACTTTTGGCATCTTAATCTGGCGCTGAGGCTTGAATAAATGTCATTCAATTCTGTAAGGGGTTATGGTAGAGTTTAACAGAAACATGTTTAGATTAGATAAGCCAAAGGGCAAGAGCATAGAGTATGCTGAAAAAGAACAGCTTATGCTGAAAAATCTTTGCAAAGTGGGATGAAGGTAAGACATTTTGAAAGCTTAAACCTTTCTAAGGTTGTTATGCTATCATTTTTACTTTGAGGATTCAAGGAAGTTTAATCTAATTTTTTGTTTTAAATGAGAGGATAGTTGGTATTTAAATATATGATCAAGTTCACATAACAACTCACATTCTCCCTTTTCATTCCCATTTATCTATACTGTTATCTGCTTTCCCCTCTATCATCAATTATTTTCTTCTCACTGGGAAATTCCCATTGCCATACAAGTATGCTATCGTATTTCTCAACATATATTTCACAAACACTTTCAGCCACTTCCTCTTTTCTTTGCTGACTTTTATGACAAAATTCCTCAAAATGCCTGTATTCACTATTAACACTTTCCTTACGCCATCTAGGTTTTCATGTCTATCCCTGCACAAAAAAAACACTGGTTTCAAGATTACCAGTAGTTTCCATGTGGCTAAATCTAATGGTGTATCTTAAACTACATGTAACTGGACATAAGTAACATTCGATATCACTAACTGACATAATTGGCATAAATCAGTTTCTTGCAACCATTTCTTCACCTGACCTCCAGAAAAACTCTTCTTTCTCCTCCTATGTCACTGGATTCCCTTTTAGTACTTGTTCTGGTTTGTCTTTATTGACCAGACCTCTAAGCACTAAAGAGACACAGGGCTCAGTCCTTATACATCTTTTCTGTATCAGTAGGAGTTTTCTAGTTGATCTCATCCAGTAATGCACATGTACATCTCATCCACATGTAGATGACTCTCAAATACATGTCCTTAGTATTAACTCTTCTCTGAACTTCAAACACATAAATTCAACTTGCAGTTGTATGGGCATCTCAAACATAACATATCCAAAACAATCATTGATTTTTACTCTGAAACCCTCATTTATATTCATATCTAAAAATAGTAGCTCTATTCTAACAATTGTTTAGGACAGAATTCTGCAGTGACCCACAAATACTCAAATGCCAGCATAAACTGTTGGTTTCATCCTTAAAATATGTCTAAGTCCTAACCATGTTATTGCATTTCCAATCTTTGCACGCCCATACAAGCCATCATCCTCTCTCATGTGAATTACTGCAATACTAATTTTCCAACTTCCACTTTTCCTGATGTGTATTTTTGTTTCTTACGCTTGTGAGGCTCTCATCTCTTCTTCACATGAAATAAAAGAAAATTCATTTAGCTTAGGTCTTCGTTTCTGTAAGGTCTTTGTCTATTATCTCATTATCAAAAAGATCTTACTCCTCAGTGTAACGTAATATCTTATTTACTATTCCTTACATCACCTTAATTTGCTGAATTTTCATTGATAACATTTTTACTTCCTTAGATACTACCCATACGTTTTTTTCATTCATTCGTTCATTCATTTGTTTTTTATTTGTCACTCTTCTCTGGGATATAAGCTCCATATGAGAGGGAATTCATAAGTTTTGTTCATTGTTGTACCTAGAACACTGACTGGCAGATGATAGATGCTCAATAAAAATATGTTGAACATATCCCAATCTTATCCTAATTTTCAGTGACTTTTTAATAGCATCTAGTCAAATTAAATAATAGCTAAAATTTTATTTAAAGACATTTGTTTTAACTCTAAATATCCTTTAAAAATCCAAGTGTAACAATCAATACCACTTATTCATAAACTCTATGGAAGAGATATATTAATGTTTAATTCCCCAGGAACTATTTTTTAAATCAGCTTTTCAATAAGACACTGCCTCTTAATTTTTGCTGTTATTTCTATGATTACTGTTACTTTTTTCCACCGGATTCTTTTTCATTTGTCGATTACTTTCATTCCCTGCTTTCTTTTATTTATTTTTTTCCCCTGGTAACAGCTTTATTAAGATACAATTTACATATCATAATTTGCTTATTTAAACTGTACAACTGAGTGATTTTTAGTAAATTCACAGAGTTGTACAATCATAGCTACAATACATTTTAGAAAATTTTTATTACATTGAGGAAAAATCCTATGTCTTTACCTCTCAGTTCCTCCCATCCCTTTCCCACATTAATGCACTTTCTGTGTCTATATGTTTGTCTATTCTAGACATTTCATAGAAATTGAATCGCTCAATATGTGTCCTTTTGTTACTGGCTTTTTTCATTTAGCTTCAAGGTTCATCCATCATGCAGCATATATCAGTACTTCATTTATTTTTATTGCTGAATAATGTAGCATTTTCTGGTTATGCTATATTTTATTTATCC